CTCCAGTACGTACTGTAACTAGGCTTAAGCGCCCCTGGGGAGTTGCTGTAACTGATGATAATCATGTTGTAATAGCTGAGCATAGTGGTAACTGTGTAAGAATACTGGATAGAGAAGGAAAGAAAGTGAAATCATTAGGAGGGAAAGGAGGAAGTGGTAATGTCAAGTTTTCTTATCCTCGGGGTGTAGCCATTACTCCAGACAAATTCATTCTTGTATCTGATAGTAATCACAGGATCCAGAAGATAAGCATGGATGGATACCTTATAGCATCAGTTGGTGAGGAGGGCAGTGAACCACTACAATTCAATACTCCTGATAATATAGCCATTTCTCCTATAACAGGACAGGTTTATATCGTTGATTTGGGTAATCATCGTATACAAGTCTTGAATCCTGATCTAACCTTCTCTCATTCATTTGGTAGTGAAGGATCAGCTATTGGACAGTTTCAGTCTCCAAATGACATTGCTATTGACAGTCAAGGATTAGTGTATGTTGCTGATCAGGATAATCATCGCATTCAGAAGTTCTCCCCAGATGGAAAGTTTGTGGGTCAGTTTGGTACTGAAGGATCTGGTCCTGGACAGCTTAATAGGCCATTAGGTATAACAATAGACATTGCAGCTACTGGTTTAGTGTATGTTAGTGAATGGGGCAATAATCGTATATCAGTCTTCACTAGTGATGGTGTGTTTGTTAGAAAGTTTGGAAGTAAAGGCAGTAATATTGATCAGTTTAATGATCCTTTTGGATTAGCATTTGATAAAAATGGATTATTGTATGTTTGTGATCATTATAATAGTCGTCTTGTTGTTTATTAGCTATTAATTATTTCTTTTATATTGCTATTTGCTATTGATCATTATTAGTTAATTATATACTGATACAGTCACTGGTATGTGTACTGAGAATACACTCAACATAACTTCAATAGCACCGCAATATCCTAATAACTAGAGAAGAAATTATTTCTTTAAGATGCATAGAATCAATAATGTAGTATGATGCATGAAAAAAAATTATTGCTATTAAAATTGTTATTACTTTCATACATCATATTCCTTATACACTATGTTCCGTATCTTATTCACCTTTAATATACTTACTACAAATGTAATGCAGAATTTAAAAAAATTAATCAACTTTGCATCAATGTCAAAGCATTTTTGTCTCAAAAGGTCAGATCACCCTTGCAATTTTTGACCATTAAGTTGACTATAAACCTACTTGACACTAGTAGCTGGTGAATTGAAATTCATTTTGTACTATCATAACTTCCTTTAGTCACAAGATCTTTGAGTATATTTAAGGCATCGCCCACTTTTTGTGTCTAGCTGACCTTCTTTAGTCTTTCTCTCCTCCTTCCACCTTCTTCATTTTGTTTTGTTGTTTCATCTGCTCATTAGGACTCTCTCTCATCACTCATTCACTGCCTTCCCTTCTCCTCCTCCTCCTCTACTTTGTGTTACATTCTCATTCATTAATGTAAATTCACCTTTACTACTGGTTGTTATAATAAAGGAATGTACTATCATAACTTCCTGTAGTCACGAGACTATAGAATATTCCAAGAGGTCATCAGGGCTATCTTTCCCCAGGCTACTCTCATTCTCGTTCATTCCGACTTCTTCATTTTCTTATCATTCATTCTTGCTCTATCTTCATTTACCATCTTCTACCTTTATCTCTCTTCATTTTTCATTCTTGCTTTACATACACAATTTTATTCTTTTCTTGAAATGGCAACCAAACCATCTTCATCTTCTTTTCCTGGTCTCCTCAAACTGGAGGAACAGCTCACCTGTCCTGTGTGTCTTGACCACTATATCAACCCTAAGACTTTACCTTGTCTACATTCATTCTGTGAGCACTGTCTGGAGGGATTACCTCTGGATAAGAAGAATGAGACCTATTACCTCTCTTGTCCCACTTGTCGTCATTGTACAGAGTTACCAGAAGAAGGAGTAGGAGCCTTTCCTGTAGCATTCACTCTCAACAACTTCAAAGAGATATACAGTCTAATGAAGAAAGTAGCTGATCCTGAACAGGTCACCTGTGACAACTGTACTACAGCTAATGCTACTGGATACTGCAAAGACTGC